TTGACGTCGCCAATGCCTTTCTCTACGCACCTGTTGACGCCGAAATCTTCGTCGAGCTACCACACGGATCAAACGGAGATCCTAACCAAGTCTGTCAGCTGCTAAAGTCTCTGTACGGCATTAAACATGCCCCGAGACTGTGGCAACAGTACCTGCACGCTAGACTCATCCGCATCGGCTTTTGCCAGCTACCGCACGACCAGGACATGTACCGACTCACAAAGGGCACCAACTACATCTTACTGATCGTCTATGTAGATGACCTACTCTACATTGGCTCGACCGACGGCGTCACTACCTGGTTCAAAGGGGAGCTGCAGCATGATCTTACTCTCACAGTGTCATCGACCGTCACGCAATACCTCGGCCTCAACATTCAGGAAGAAGAAAGCGCAATCTACCTTAGCGCCGTGAAATACGCCGACACTATCGCCAAACGCTTCGGACTCACCCCGACCGCCATCTCCACGCCATACCGCTACACCACCGGAAGTCACAAGGAAGGCTCCGCTCCGCTCAAGCCCGCAGGCATACGCGACTACCAGAGAAAGCTGGGATGCCTCCTCTTCGCAGCTGTTACCTGTCGTCCGGATCTATCATACTCTGCAAGTCAACTCACCACCTACCTCAAGAAACCTGAAGCGGAACACATGGCGGAGCTTGACCGCGCTCTTCACTACCTTGTCAGCACCCCGACGATCGGCCTAACCTACCACAAGACCGGAACTACAACACCTAAGCTAATTGGCTACGTCGACGCTGATCACGCCGGCGACTCTGACAACAGGCGCTCGCGCACCGGCTACATCTACCGACTTAAGCCTATCAGGCCCATCTCTTGGCAGTCGAGCAAGCAGGAGCTAATTGCTCTCTCCTCATCTGAAGCAGAATACATTTCACTCTGTTCAGCCACCAAGTAAGGACGGTATCTTCGCGAACTGCTGGAAGAAGTGAAGCTAGCCCAGTTACCCAGCTTCTCCCTGTTCTGCGACAACCAGTCTGTAATCCGCATAGCCAACAAGAACGGATTTGCGAACAGAACGGAACACATCGCCCTGCGATATTTCTTCGTGAAGGACGAGATCGAGAAGGGGAGACTCGAGCTGTCCTACTGTCCCACGTCTGAGATGGCAGCTGATTACTTGACCAAGAAGCTCGGAAAACAGAAGTTCGAGTACTGCATGCTGCTGACTGGGCAAGGCCATGTCACCAGCAGCGACACTCCAGAAGCGAAGGGGAGTGTTGGAAACAAGTAATTTAAGCACTTCTGTCGTGTGACAAAACACTAAGTCATAAACGAAGCGAAGCACAACGAAGCATCGGCGAGTCAACTATCGGAGGTTGACAAATGAAGTAACCGCTGGAGGTTACGCGAAGGTCAAAGGTCAGCGACCTTTGACTTGACAGATACAGCGCGACACCAAGGACAAACAACTGACTCGATACAGAGCAGTTGCCCAAGTCATCACTATATCGAGCCGCAACAGCAACAGTAAAACAGTTATTAGTTGTATCTCTTCATATTCCTTGTACTCTTATAAAAGCCTTGTACCTCTTTGTTTTAATCAATCTACTTTGCCCTCACATACCAGCGCAAGGTGGTTCAACACTCTTATTAAACGCTTCCGCAAATACAACATTCCTACCCAGAGTTTAGTCCTGCAAAGATCCTAAGGGCTTTTCTCAGCCCAACAGGCGGAAGGGGGGGGGGGGGGGTGTGGGATGATGCTTTCCTGGGACTCCATAATAGAGGGTATGTTATCACGCGTTTCGCCGATAAACACCTCTAGCCACATAAGCCCCCCGCGGGGGATTTTCAGCGGGCTTTGTAAACGGGGGATAACAGTAAGGCCGTGATGCATGCTGCGTGTTTGCTCAAAGTCCAAACATTGACCATTTTTTGCCGTTCAACTTGAAATCACCGTTATTTGCCATAAAATACCGTACAACACCCCTCACAAAGATTTGCCCCCGATGCAGCACACCCTTACACCCGTAGTGCATGCACCAATTAAACAAATGCGCCTGTTTTAGAAAGGATCACAGTAAGACACAATCACACCGTACCAGGACAGGACATTAGCACATTATCAAGAATAGAATTTATGGTAAATATAGCAGAATCTCTCTAAATGACATCTGCCAATCATCACACGAACTCTGATGACTGTATATACCGGTAGTTAGGTATTACCTAGGTACACATATGGACTTGCTACCTACAGTACCCGAGCAACTCTTGCCATTGTATTCTGCGAACTGGGCATCACTTGTGAATCTACCTGTAACAAGCACTCTTGAACATGAATCGTTGATGTTGACCTTCTTGCATTTGCCTTTTTTGCAAATGACGCTTGCTGTAAATGACCAATACTCTGCCCTTAAACAAATCTGGCACAAAAGGAGACGCAAATGTCAAAGGTGAAAAGTTAACCATGACAATAATGCAGATAAGCAGAGAAAAAACATTGAAAATCTTGACAGGGAATGGGCTGTTAGCAAATACAGTAGTGCCAAAACTGGTAATCCCCAAGTCCCAACAGGTTTGGCCCTATGAAGAACTCATGTACCAGGGATTACCATTGCCGCCCGCATTGCACTCCCTCCTCTCCCTCCCTTCACATCCCCACTTCAGCTTCTCTACTCTGCCAACCAACCTTGTAGCCCCTTCCCCTAGCTCCCGTGTTTTGTCCAGAAACTAATCCGCACATTCCAATCCTTACCTGCACTTTCATGTTGCCAGGGATGGTGCTGGAGCAAGTGAGGCCGGGATTGTTGCGGTACAGGTCAGCCCAGTTCCTTCCAGTGACAGCCCCACCCGGCTCCTTGGCGGTTCTTCGAAGCAGCACCTCACACGTGTCGCTCGTTGTCGATGTGTCGTATCTCAGACACTCAGGAACCGTGTAGGCGAAAGCAGAGCTGCGCTCGACGCACACTGACTGGCCCGCATTGAGGCCCGACAAAGAGTTGAGGCCGAGGTTGAGATTAACAAGGTCTTCGAAGCTCAAGCCGAGCTGGCTGGTGACGTATGAACAGGTGTCGCCCTGGGAAGTTGGACAATGGAGAGAGCACATCTTGAGTGCGTGTGGTGCTGCCTACAATGGGATGTAAGTTGGCTAGGCAAGCTGGTAAGGTCATATCCTAGCCAAGTGTCAAGAAGTTGGTGTCATGACACCAACTCATTCTACGCACGCGAATACTCCAAAAATAACGCTAGACCAATAGCATTGGCCGAGCATTATTTTTGGACCAATCGCGTGCGTAGAATGAGTTGGTGTCATGATACCAACTTCTTGTCACTTGGCTGGGATACGACCTAAGACCACGGTAAGGTGAAATGAAAACGGCACCACCCCGTCTCACGTTGAGGGCGTAGAAGAAAGCAGTGCAGGGGATGTTAGGAGCACCATCCAACTTAAGGACACTGCCTTTAACCAATGGCTGGTTGCAATCTATCTCCTGCATTGTGGAACATTTGCATGAAGAAGTGGCGTGAGTGCGAGCTTGTAGTCACATTCCCTTGCTCACCAATACAAAGCATAAGTGATGTTTGAGATTAAAAAAAAAAAGAGGTGTGGCGCAATGAAGTATCATCAGAACCAGATCGGCGTGCCCAACAAAACCTTAGCCGTGTAGGTATTCACTCACAAACTTAATTCTTACCGTATTGATGTTGCTGAATTGTTCCAATGGTATGCCAACAAGTGCATTTACATCCGAGCACTGCCAGTTGTCTCCAGTAACAGTCATGCTGGTGGTTGTAGAATTCGCTGTAGAACGTGAATAGAGAGAGAAGAAGGCATGGAGGAAAGAAAAGGAGAGGAGTAAGGTTGGGTTGGGGAGAAGAGGTCCCATTTCTAACGACTCAGACCAATGAAGCATTACCCGGATCACAGGTGGGGAAGCCGTAGACTGTGACTCTCTCAATGTAGTTGGGAGGGCAGATGCAGGAGTAGGAGCCCTTGAGATCGTTGATGCATGTGCCCACATAGCAGGGGTTTTTGAAGTACGACCCACACACGTCCACTGCCACAGTGGCATCAGGGTGATGTACATTCCATGGATTGGAGACAGCAGGTAAGATTGAGCAACGAGGGACATAGGGACAAGCAAGGCATAAGGATAGGACATGTGAGAAAAATACAAGGATAAAGCAAGGGTTATCATGCCATGTAACATCACGAGCTCGGCCTGCAGGGCCCGCTCGGCCAACAGAGGGCACCAAGAGACCACGTACTTTGTACACAACAGCAATTTCTTACCATAAGCACAGGTTTTGGAGCCAATTCCGTTGTCAACCTCAACAAAAGGTTGAGGCGTAGCTTGAGGAATAAGGCAGCTGCATGTATGGCCTTGAGTAGTCTTCTGGCATGGGAACCGGCCACACGGGTTCATGCCGTACAAGTCCTGGTCGCCCTTGTAGCTATTGTTACCGCATGGGTCTCCTGGAACTGAAGGGTGAAGGAGAGAGTACAAGCTGAAAACATCAGCACGGAAGTTTGTTAACTGTAGGACAAAGCAACGTGTTAGTAAATTGGCAAGGCATGGCTTGGTACTAGGGAAAACAATTGCTAAGCACCACTTTTAGTCTTGTTGTCTTTCCAAACTTGCCAGCATCTTTAATGTGCAGTAGTTAGTGACAACACAATTAACTGCCAGTTTAAACTGGATAGAAAGTTACCTGGAAGACCACTTATGTCGACATTCTGAAATGCTGAAATCCAGGGTCAAATTGGGCTACCGATATACTTCCCTATTAAAAAACGTTTCTACAAGTCCATTGCTTGTCAACAGCTGCTTTCTGTGTCCACCCCCCTAGCTCTCTTAGAACCTGCACCCACAACGGGTGTCACACAACGGGTTTCATGCCTTGCCTGCACCACCCCCCTGCAAGTAGGCGCAGTGGGGACTCACCTCCTCCACAAGAAGAACCAGAACCTGGCTGGGCCTAATCTCTAATTCCTCCGTCCTTGGGCATGCTGGGGTTGGCAGGCCCAAGGCTAGAAGGAGAGCACGGCTTCCCAGCCAGCTTCTTCATCCACGCCTACCGGGTCCTCGCGGCATTGCCCCCACCCAGCAGCCATTGTGCCAGAAGTTTTGCTGATGGAAGCTGCTAACGCTATCCCCACCTCCTGCACTCCACACATGGCTGGCTCAATGCCAATCTGGTCTGCATGAGGGTGACGGGAGTGCCAGGTCCCATCTGGCCAGGTCACAACTCAAGGAGTGCCAGGTCCCATCCGGCCTCACGCTCCAGCATGCTCTTGGCCAATGCCACTGCTATTCTGAGCAGGATACGGCGTGACGGTCGATGGACCTGAACCCCCCATATCGCCATGCACAACCGATACAAAGTGCAGAATTTGGCTTCAGGTGGTCTCCTTCTAGCAAAGGTGCCTCAAGGTGATAGCCCCCCACTGGTCGTATGTCCTGTTGAGTCCCTCTCATTCAAAGAATATGTAGCACCTCTGCGTAAGACATGCTACCGTCTACTACTCGAAACCCAGTATTTGTGGGGGTAGGCTGTCTGCTTTTCTATCACAACGAGCAACAAGGGGTACGAAACAGGGTGGAAAAGTTGGGAGGGGGTGGGAAAGGTTTGCTGCCTTGCCCTTGGGAGTGAGTCGCATGGCAAACTTCAACTATGGATTACAACTGTGGATTCACAACAATGTTGTGCATTTCTCACTCTTGACAACGGGGTAGATGCCAGGCAGCACGTTGATGCCACACACGCCATCCCCTCCCTGAATGCCCATGCGCATGTGGCCTTTGTCTCCCCACTCCACCCCCCACGAGTTGCGGATGACCCAAAATGGAGGTGAGATGCGTCTCTGGCTGCCGTCGTCTCGATTGATGAAGTAGCCAACGACGAGCACCACATGGTTCAGATTGCCCGTGTAGCACGCAGGGTCCTGGTACTTGAACGTCTAAAACAAAAAGTGGGATGGGACATACATCTGTCATACAAATGTGTGTGCAATGCTACAAGAGTGCACCATACTGCGCAAGTCCGCAAGGCACCACAACACATGATTGCTGCAGCGACTCACCCCATCATACTGGAAGAACGTGCCGGCCGAAGCCTCGATGTGAACCACCACTGGCTGGCGCCGCACTGCCAGCATGAGCCCGAAGTACCCCTTGAAGAGCGCCCGCTCAAATGCTGCCACCGGGTAGCTTGTTCCCTAGGAACACGAGAATGGGTTGGAATATGTATGAGTAGAGCAAATGAATGAAGAAAGGATATGAGGTCCGTGCCATATCCATGTCGCTCTATGCTAAACGGAAACCATGGAGCCAAGAGTAATTTACAGCAGGAGACAGCTCAATGCATTGCCAGCCTATCCACGACTCAGATATCCATCACAAGCAACGATTCCTTCACGGTCTCTGCCAAGGAAGGTGAGTCGTGAAATTTTCCATGATTGCCCTAAAAACCGACTTGTGATTTGTTGAACTGAACTGATATACTAGAATTTTCCACTTGTTTTTCAATCCTACACACTAGTTTCTACTAAAGATCTGATAGTCAGGATACTTCTTAAGACTGTCTCGCCGCAATCAAACCCGTTCCCAGCAGCATCTCACATCACCGCACCTCACATCACATACCATGGCCTCATTCTGTTTTCCCTACCAGGTCATTGACTCCTGTGAGCCCATTGCTGGCATCAAGAGTGACGAGCTTCTCAAAGGCTGAAGTGGGGGAGCCTCCAGCGGTGCACTTGTCTGCATCGGTGAGCCCCATGGCTGCAAAGAGTGACTCCACTGACAGCTGGGGAGCAGCTTGATTCAATGCGATGCCGTACGCAGCCTCCACACTCGCCACCACCGCATACGCCCAGCATGCATCTGAGAATAAGCAAGTAGATACGAGAACAGTTAATTGTGCTTACTCTTTGAGGGTGGAGTAACGCTGCAGATACATACGCTCAGCATGCATCTGAGTAGACATAGGATCAGGGAATGAGGGTAGAAAACATTCCCAACTGGAGGACCTTGCTGTCCTAAAAACCTTTGCAGATGGTAAAAATATCTGCGGTGGCAAACAAGAACTTGCAACGTGACCCTAAGCTAAGTAATAGCCGTGCAACATGTGAACCTGAAGAAATGAGGACCTCCAATCTGGAAATGTCCACTGGCACACGTCACATGCGATCTCCATGCTCTTGTCACTCACTGCAAAGCAGCTGATCCTTGACAGGCCACTTGAGGAAGGCCATGGAGATCCAGGAGTGGAAGTAGGCATGATCATTAGGCCCGACCCGACCCGACCCGACCCGACTTGGGCGGGCCAGCCGGGTTCCGGGTCGGGTCGGGTCGGGTCGGAACTTCAAAAAATCCTGGCCCGACCCGGGTATCGGGTGCCGGGTCAGGCGTGACCCGCCCCCGGGTCGGGTCGGGTAGGGGCCGGGTCGGTCGGGTCGGGCCAGGACCCCATATGCAGGGTAAGAGGTTCTCCTTACTACTATGCGGTGTTGCACTGATTGAATATTTGTGTAATATTATTATATGAACGTCCTCCATTTTGTAACTAGACTATGGGGGGTCGCGTCACTATCGATGCGGGCCTGGTAGGCGCTCAGGGGGTGATTAGAACGCGGGACCAGAGTTTAGTCGCTTGTGAGAGCTAAGAATAACTATTTCTATAGAATCGGATATCTCTGCCTGGTCGCGCTAGGTTAAAAAGACCCTTACGCCAACATGGAAACACTAGTAATAGTGTTCCTTAACATGGGCGCGGGTTTAGAGAGTAGTAGAGCTTGAGAACGATTGCTTGCTAGCTGCCTAGGTATTGCAGATCGAAGTCAATGTCGAGGGAACAAACAAACCCTAGACATTGACTTCGCGATCTGCTTTAGTGCAAATTGTCGACGGAGGAAAAGTCGGGTCGGGCCAAATACTCGACCCGACTTAGGGCGCGGTACCCGAAACCGGGTCGGGTACGACTTCGGGTCTAAATCTGACCCGACCCGACCCGACCCGGTTTCGGGTGTCGGGTCGACCTGACCCGACCGGGTAAACCCGACCCGACCCGGCCGGGCCAGCGCTTCAAAATGCCTGACCCGACCCGGGTCAAAACCCGGGTCGGGTCGGGTCGACCCGACCCGCCGGGGCAGGATGATCATGCCTAAGTGGAAGTCACGGATGGCCCACGAGTCCACGCTTGCATCGTTATCCGTCCATTGGTAGTCCGTGCTCACATAGCGCAAGAATGGGCTCGCTCTAGGTGGTGCAAACGTGCTTTCTGATACTGCGAGTCCACGTTCTGTGAGGGGAGGGACGGGGTGGACAAGGAGATATGCGTAGGCTAGACAATATGGGTGATGGGTAGAGGCACACCTGGTGGGCGTGTGAAGCACAGATCCACCTTGGAGCTCGCATTGAATGCAAGGCAGGACACTACACCAGAGTTTGCGAATTTCCCCAACGAAAAAGACGGAGAAGCTTCATGTGTTATCGTGCATTCAGCATAAGCATAAGCAGTCGATCAAATCAGGGCCATTCTTTTGGCCTTCCGGTTCGAGTCGAACTGGACTGGGTCCTCTGGAATTGTGATTGCCTCGCCTCTGGCTGACTTCGGTTGGGGAACACAAGTATGCGGAGTGGTTTCATGCTTCTAAGCTGAAGTTTTACTCAAACAAGGCACAAAAATACTTGTCAGAATGACAAACTATAAGCATTCTGGAAAAAATATATATACATATGGAGCCAACTTTGTGGGTCTGATTTTCAAGCTCCAGCTTTCCACCTGCATTTTTGCTCCATGTTTGATGAACTATAACTTGTTCACACTCAGCTACACCAAATGAATATGTATAAATACATACATATATATATATATTAAGTGGGGGAGAGGAGGAGGAGGGGTTGGGCCAGACTAGACTTGAACCGAGCAGACTCGAACCACAGTTCGAGTTGAACTGCATTCGGCCACAATTGGGCACGTACCTCTCGGGTCCTCCAAAGGTCAGATTAGAACCGGTTCAGGTTTGGCTCGACTACCAGGCTTGTCCCATGCTCATGCCTAATTTGGCATGTGCATAATGAAACGAATCTGTGTTGTAAAATCCTCTTTCACCCTTGGGTTTCCCAGCTGTTAGATGGTCTAACCTGGACGTTACTACTGCTGATCAACCAACTTGCTGGTGGTTGTTACATGGCAGAGACAGCTCACCTCGAGTGGTTCCAACTCGCTTGCGTGGAGGAAAAATTCCTGTGAGAAGATAAGAGACCAACAAAGTCAACCAACCACATGAGAACCAAGATGAGAGATGAGATTCAAGGCAGTTAAGTTTGTCAATCAATTACCATGGTAAACAATGATTTTCAATGCCACCTACCATCACCGCAATGCCATTATCACCATCACCTGTTCATCATCATCATCACCACCACCACCACCACCACCACCACCACCACCACCACCATCATCAGCATCATCATCAGCATCATCATCATCATCATCATCATCATCGTCATCATCATCATCATCATCAAGACTGACTGACACTGCCATCACCAACACCCCACTCACCCAAATGACTTGCCTGTTCGCATGGCGGATTTGGCAATGGCGTGCATCTGAAAGGGCCTCTTAGTGGTGGATGCCACGAGCCAAAGAAGAACGTCGACTTCTTCCCACCAGGCTGCAGCACCGTGCACAGCGACAGCTCCCTCTGCAGCAGCGGCGTATCTGGCTTCACCCTGGAATTGGCCAGAAACACTTGAACCGTCCCAGAATTCCAAGGGTCATAGTCCACCCATGCTGTGTAGAATTCACCGTCGTTCAGAGTGAATGGTGACTCCACTGTGACCAAAGAATTATCCGAGCCATTTATGTTGAGCCCTATATGCTGCTCCGTCGGATCATTGTGGTTGGCATTCTGAAGTGTGCCAAATTTAACGGCTACACTCCTCCTGTCCATTCCACCATACCCTACACCTTTAGATTTTCCCACCTTGCCCTTCGCCGCGATCACAAATGCAAACCCGTTGAACCCGCCAATACCATTCTGGGGAACGACGCAGAATGTGAAGTTAACACTGAAAGCCAGCTCCGCGCCACATCCCGTGGTGAAAGGCTTTGGGTACGCGAAAAGGCTTACTGGCTTTGCCATAAACTTCCCCACTGTCTGTCGTTGCGTTCCCTTGGTGAGAATGGGGAACAAAGGAAAAAAAGGCGTATTTATAAACAGGCCACGATCCCAACCTGAAAGGATTCAACGGATGAGAGAAGGGAACAAAGAAGGATGGGATTGGTGGAGAACTGGATCTCTGTCAATCTGGAAAAAGAAGGCTGCTTCAGGGCGATGAGCATAGATTAGCAAGACACGCATACACCAGTGTAAAAAAAAAGGGTCTGTGCAGTGCAGCATAGGTTGCAGAAACCTTGTACAGCAGCTGAATGCCTACTAGGTGTCGCCTAGGTCTGAAAACATCAATGGCGCATCAGAACTTGGCAGGGGAGTGTGAGTGAGATGACTGTTTAGCTGAAACCCTTCTTGTGCTCACCTGGCTAAACAATCTGAAGGCATACACAAAGTAAAGAACGCGGTACTAACATGCAGTAGGCCAAGGCAAATAAGAAATGTGATGTAGCAGGAAAAATAAAAATACGAAATTGATAATTCCTATGTTTCACAAGGATCAATAATACAACACTTACCTTGTGCAAGACAGTTGACCGTTCTGAACTGCACGTATCCCGGTTCACACAAGCACGTTGGCACCAAGCTGGGTCCGCCTGGATAGCAGATGCCATGGCCATCACATGCATTCCAGCCACCACAGAATGCCGTGCACTCTGCTGTGGGCCGCTGCAGTCAGAGGGAGCATTTGGGCTGCGTGGGGAGACAGTTAATCCGTGTGAAACAGTTGGAAGCAAGACGGCCGTTAGTGGAGGCTGAAAGATCCAGAGGACCTGTCAAGTAGTTGCTTGAAAGGTCCATTTTGGTCCATGGAAGACCCGAAATGGGGCCTGAGAGGTAGTTGTGAGAGGCATCACTGCACGTGAGGAGCAAGGTGAGGGAGGTGCAGGTGGTGGGGTAGGGTAGCAAACATACACAAGCAGGGAATATTACTGAGGCCAAGAAAAAATAACATAAACAGAAGAATGCCAGAAGGAGGAGGAGGAAGAGGAGGAGGAGAAGGAGGAGGAGGAGGAAGAGGAGGAGGAGGAGGAGGAGGAGGAGGAGGATGAGGAGGAGGAGGAGGAGGAGGAGGAGGAGGAGGAGGAGGCAGAGGAGGAGGCAGAGGAGGAGGAGGAGGAGGAGGAGGAGGAGGAGGAGGCCTACCTTTTTAGGTTTCCCACGACTCTTTTTTTGGTTCCAAATTGACACGCAAAACCATCTCAACCCACTTCACCCCTTAGCATCTGGATAACGACCACGTCCTACAAGCCCAAGCCATAACCTCTTTACTCAGCTGAGTCTTTCTTTTTTACTTGGCTCGACTCAAAAAGAATGAGCTCGAAATTCGACAATGACTAGTTACAGAACCCACTGAGTAGCTTGACTCGTTTGCTCATGTATACCGCTCCCTCCCTCACCACTTGTCAAGTTCTGAGACGCAAGGAGTACCACACAAGGATGGAAGAGAAAGCATATAGAAGGAGAACCAAGCAGGGGCCTCACAGATATTGCAGTTTGGACAAGCGAGTGCCAATGTCAGACGGAATGGAGTCAGTAAATTGATTGTTGTTGATAACCCTGTGGAGAACATGATGAGTAGGAGGCCTGAGAATGCAGCATGCACAAAACTCTTGATAGACTTGAGCATGGTACCGAACAGGACCAGTTCGGTTCGTCAGGGCTCATTCCCTATCGAGAATGTGGGAAACACCCCAATGTTAGGTGGAAGTGGGCATAATAGACTATGAGAGAGCTCGACATGAGCTCCAACTCTCTGGATTATAGCCTTACATTTAAAATGTTTTTTTTTTCGGCGCGGCCCGGCAATTGTTACTATCAAACCGCCGAAGAGGCCGCCCAAAAACAACCGATTCAGTTTGGATGACAGCGAACCGAACCACACAGAACCGAAATGTGGTCACTTTTTATGCTCATGCCTTGATATCTACATGGCATCAGCATGTCTGTCATATCCAGAATAAATAATTATGTGCAGGTTATTCGCTTTGTACATCACCCTGGTACAGAATGTGGATTCTCATCTTTTCATACAACAAACAAGAGACACAAGTGAGAGGAGAAACAAGCAAGGGGCATTACAGGATCTGCACTTCAGTAAGGACTAAAAGGAAAGAAATGTTTCCAGAGAACTTGTTGCTGGCTAAAGAACTGCAGTTACGAAGGAGGAGCAAAAAATGGTCACTGCAGATGAAGAGAAGGAACCAAGAACATATGGCAACAGAAAAGCGACAAGGAGATACAAGAAAAGTCAACAGAAGAGAGGACCACATTTTTTTTTTTTTTGAAAACAATAACAACAAACAAAAACCAGGGAAAAAAAAAAATCACAGGAAAACAGAGCAAATGGGGTTTTTCGAGTGGCTGCATATCATCGATCAACCAATCTGCATAAACAGTTTTCTTTGGGTGGAATGTAAAAGAGGTCTCTCGACCATAGAATACAGAAGCGGGACAAGAGACAAGCCGTACAATCTTCTGAAGTCTGTTAAAGGGCTCAGGATAGCAGGAGGAATGGGGCCGTCAAGTTGATTGCCTCCCAGAAACCTGCATTTGTGAAAGGATGGAGACACACCGAGCAAAGCGAGAGACGTAGAGTGGGTAGAGCGTTCAAGACTTTGACCAAGGATCAGTCAAATAAGCTGGGCGAATTGCAGGTACGATGGATGCGAGGTTCTGGATTGAGAGAAAAGTAGATGGAAGAAGAGGGAGCTGAGAGATAGGGACAAGAAAGGGGAAGAGCGATGGGAAAGGAGGTGGAAAAGCACGAATGTCGAAAATCGGATGATCATTTTTTTTCCATTGGTATTCTATGCTATCTTCTAGGGAAAAATGTCAGAACATATATATAGCTTATGCTGTTGTGTTTGCTATAGTGGGGTATCCCATAGGGGGTACAACCCAATTAGGGTTTGCTATATGTACTCACTTCATTCATAGTTCATTCATTCTCGTTCTCATTCTCACATGGAATCAGA